GTTTTAACTTGTAGTTTTTGAAAAAAGAAAAAAAAATCCATTCTAGAACGTCACAAACGCATAAAAAATTACAAGAGAATCTTGCTGGTAAGATCGAAGAAAGGATAATCAAACTTAACATCAAATGTTTAATTCAATAAAAGTCGGATAATGATATTAGTAGAAATTTTAAGCCATAGTTTAGTATCTTATACATTGTGGTACACATGAGAAAACCACATTGTTTCGCTTTTGCCGTTGCTTTTCCCTTTTCCAATTCTATACTATTTGACAAGTCATAAAAACATGAGGAGAACTCCTACCACACAGGAAAATATATCATTATTGGAAACTAGCTATTTGTTAAACCATTCAGTAATCATACTCCCAAACCTGTCTGTGGTTTAATCATTTTTAGTATAATTGGTTATGTAATAATAATTATTTTAAAATCCAAGTTTTTTTTCTTTTAAATCCAAGTATTTAACAAGCAGATGAACAATAAACATTTGACATCAAAAATTGCATTGCGTGCTTCATTGAGGACCACTATTCTGCTCTCAGAATGGCCCTTGTGGGAAAGGGTTTGGCTCCTACTTGTAAGCTACATCTATCCATAATTTTTGTATCCATCAAAAACTTCTAGCAAATTATTAATAAGGTTGTGGTTTGTTGGATTAATTAATTGTGAATCCATCAATGATGTCTTGATCCAATAATTAAAAGACAGTTTAAGTAAGGGTTTTTTTTTAATGTTGTTTGGGTTAAAATGGTTCTTTAAAGAACAAGTGGAACTATGTAAGTGAAACTGACAGCCATTTGATTATGGTTATAAGGAATTGATAAAGTATTGAACAACAAATCAGAATGACTTTGTGAGTCGATTTTGGATAAGAATGTCTATATTATATTTCTTTATGGTGCTTGTGGAAACACAACTGCTACCAAATCCATATTAAATAATATTTAGTTTTGCTTGCTTACAGACTAATGCTACCTCATTAGTTCATCATAATTTCGTCTTTCACTCTTCCTTTTTTTTTTTTTTTAAGCTAAGGTGTTTGTTCCATCATCCATGCTAATTTATCGACTAATTAACTCTACTTCGATAATATATAGCAAAAGAAGATAACTTTGATTTAATTGGATCAATTTAATTATATACTCCAATTCATTATTAGTAAATATCTAGTTTAACTTTTTTGACTTTCTATATATGAATTTTAAATAAAAATTTAACATGTTTTACAAATGATAATTAAATTTTTTTTATCAAATAAAAATACTCAATAAGAACTACATATAAGAAAAAAAAATAATTATTATTCATATAAATTGCTAAATTTTTCTCTAAATTTTAAATTCAAAATGTCAAAAAATTAAGCTAAATTTATTAAAATTGAATGAAAGAAATAGCTTTCTTTTCTTTTAAAAGATATTCTAATACTTAAGAATTTAAATCTCAATTTTAGAGATTTCAAATTTTACTCTTGAAATAAAAAATAATAATTCAAGAAATAGAGAGCTATTTCTTATATAGTACTGCATATATAGTGTCTTTGCGAAGGCTCGACCTCAGAAAACACTCAAGAACTTCTAAAATATGAAAACCTTGCTTGTTTGAAAGTGATGTGTAGGATGAACTAAAACTACATGAAAGCAAAACAAATCAAAGAGCCATTATTGAATATTTAAAAGGACAATGATTGGTGCACACCCGGATCCAGCACTCGGTATGCACCCCCCACATAAAAAAAAGAATTAGACCGGGTGATGGGCATTTTTTTTTATATGATTTGTGCACATCCAAGTGTTGGATCCGGGTGTGCACACATCATTTTCCTATTTAAAATCACCATACCCAAAATAAGTGTTTATAATCTTATTCATGTTGAAAAATTCCTGGAACTTTTAGTTTGTGTAATATGATGTATGTAAAAAAGGTACAAAAGGTGAAAAATAGGTGATGTAATTTGAACTAAAATATTGCAACCTAGTGTTCAAGAGAAAGATGTTTAATCATATAAAATGAAGTAATGATGAAATGACACTTTGGCGACACCCGTAATACACGCACATACAATGAACTAAATCAGTTTGATTTTTTCACTTTGAAGTTTGAAGATAAAAAATATATATGAAAATTTAAAATACCTAATGAATGTGAATTACATTTTTTTTAAGAAAAAAATGTTATACAGTTTGAATTATATTACATTGCATAATACTAACTATCAAATAAGATTGAGTTTCTTAATATTAAGAGTTTCTCTCCATTCAATAAACTCTACTTTACAGTTTAATACAATTTAACCCGTTAAACAAAATTTTCCTTTTTTAATCAACTCAAACTTATAAACAATACCTAAATATAGGGGGGGAAAAGAAATTGAAATTCATTTTTTATATTAAACTTTTACTTAATTTTTTTCTTCAAAAAAAAAAAAAAAATCAAACTACGTCTTCTAAAACGGAGAGACTACCATTTACCATTAATGGTCTGTCTTTAAAACCAAAGACATAAACTTTATCTACTAACAAGCTAACCCTAAATATCACTTGACAATTAAAAGTAAGTTAAAAAAAAAAAAAAACAAAAAAAGGAGAGAGAGTATATGACAATAAAAATATAAAGCTTATCAATTTTGATTTAAAAAAAAAATTAGAGTCTCAACCTAAATTACAATGGTTTTATTTAATTAAATTCCATTTCTTAATTTTAACCTTCTGCAATTCGCTGAAAGTTGTGATTATTCCTCATCGACGGCAGCAGTGACAATCATTCTGCAATTCAACAATATTCAACCCTTTTGCAAACTCTCATTCTCCTTAGCGATTCTCTCTTTCCGCCGCAACAAGGGAACAAGATCCACTCTTTTTTGGCAACCCTCAATTACTAAGCACTGACATTTTTTGCATGATAATGAAGAATTAACAGTTGTCTTTTCTCAATTTTATTCTTATTCGCCGTCAACGAGGGCCTGAAAACTTGCAGGAGGGTGAAAAAGTAGGAATGGAGCATTAATTAAATAGAACAATATAATTTAAGGATTAAAATTTTATTTTTTTTAGTTGAAACTAATATATGCTATCCTCTAATCCTATTTTCGACGACGGAGACCTTTGTAATTTGTATAGAACAATCATCCCAACTGATGTTGTAGGGGTGACCATTTGGAAAAAAATAAAATAAAATAAAAAAGTTAAAATGCCAATTTAGTCCTTCAATTTTTAAATTTGTATTGAAATTATCTTCAAACTTTAAAAAGTACCAAGATTATATTTAGACCTTAATTTTTGGTACTAAAATAGTCCTTTCATTAACTAAAATGCCATGTGATTTGTCATCTTACCACAAAATGAATTCTTTTTTAAATATTAATGACTTATAAAATGAAACAATTATATTTTATCATTATGACATATTTTTATTTACACATTAGATTGAGATATAATTAAAATCAAATAACCAAATTAGTACTTTTAATTAAAGTTAAAGGATTAAATTGGTACTTATCTTCAAAGTTTAAGTACTAGTTGGTACTAAAGTAAAGTTTAGGGACTATTTTGGAACTAAAAATTAAAGTTTAGGAATAATTTTCTATTTTATGAAGTTTGAGGGAAATTTTAATATGAATTTGAAAGTTGGGGGACCAAATTATTATTTAAACCAAAAAAATTGAAATTTACTAGCTTAAAAAGATGTCTTCATCCATTTGTTCCGACCTGCCGGATTCGAACCAGCGACCTAAGGATAGCTATCAGCAATGGAACCAACTACAGTCCTCCGCTCTACCAACTGAGCTAAGGTCGGATTCGGAAATCTTCGGTAAAAATATTACTTTCGTAGACTTCAATTTTTTTTCAGCAAAATAAAATTTTTATTTATGGGTCCAACCTTCATTTACCCAAAAAGGCCTTAGGAGCCCACGGCAACCGGGCCACAATCCATGCACAAGCACAAATATTTTAACCAACAATTTCCATGTCTGGTAACGATGTCCAGGCTCAACCTTTCCTGCTAAACTCCAGAACTCCAGGACCATTTCTGTAATTACCTGTATGTAACAGCCAATTAATAGTGTTTTCGAAAGAAAAATTATTTTGAGATAACTTTTTTGTACCACTTTTAAGAAACCATCAGCGGCATAATCTAGTAATAAAGTCGCTTGTTTGTTTGTATCTGCCATAAATTTAGACAATCTTTAAGGTAAAAAAAAAAAAGAAAAAAAAAAAGAAAAAAAAGGAGATGTGATGTCAAAAATGAACATATCCATTCCGAAAAAGGGTGAAAATGTTACGATTTCATGTTTTCATACTCGGGAATAAAAGGGTAGTCTGGTTAGCAAGAGAATTTACCCCATATTCCATTGATTAAGGTTTAATTCTTTGTGATGCCAATGAAAAAGTTATTCTTCAAGAATCTCTTCATTCTAACGTAAATCATTTTGATTAGATCAGAGAAGTGAAGTTAGTTTAGTGCTGGTAAATTGATCCTGAATATTACCAGACCGCATCACCTCGAAGAAGAAAAAATGAAGGCGGCTAATAGATTTTGAAATTGGTAGTCATCCCAATTCCATGCATTGAATTGTTATTAGCTCATTACATGTGTGGTGTCACCATAATACATATAGATATTTACTAGCTTGGAAGGAAGATTTTCCTCAGAAAAATATATGTTTCCTGCATTCGTTTGTTGCTCAAAACTATACAAAAACTGAAAATTTGATTCTCGATTCTTGTTTCAAAATGAAGCATTACATTTGCCAAAACACTGCAGGCCAACAAGAAGTGGGCATTTAATATAGAGTTTTTTTAATTTATACTCTAAAAATGTAATAAATATACATTTTTTTGTCATAAATTTATATTAAAAAAAAATTTCACATTTAATTTATCAATTATCTAATTAAATTCATCCACTTCACACCAACACTAAAATTAATGTCAATCTTTATATATTTTTTTATATACATTTATAACAAAAAAGTACTCTTAACTTGTACTCCTAAGGCATAGATTAAAAAAACCATTTAATATAATATCAAAACCAGTCCTAATCAATTGAGTTGATTCACATTTTCTATATTGATGCCTTCATTTTAGTAGTCAATCTTGTTATCAACTCAATCAATAAGATAGCAACCAAACCAACTACCCCTACAAGCTAACAAAGCTGGTGGTTAGAAGCCTTTGTCATATGTACAAAGCTCTCAGAATCTGTTTTCTATGAAAAAAGAAATCTCAATCGTGAATACTACTCTAGAAGGCCTATTCTCATCTTGAGAATGAAACTGAGAAAACTGAAATGCAAAGTAATGCTATTTGGATAAAAACAGAAGATCTTCCTACAGACACGTATAGTTCACAAGGAGCTCCTAACAAAACACAGAAAAGTAGTGAAGAATGTTAAAGAATACCAAATGTATAAAGATATACCTACCGAATTTGTATCAAACACATTTTCATCTCCCTTCTAGGATTACATCTGAGTTAGTCAGGGAAAAGGAAGAAGAAAGGGTCTTTTGGATTTCATCAAATGTTGGGTGTCCTCTAGGCCCTCCATTTCCTAAGTTTTTCCACATGGCAGTTGTTCTTTTTCTGTCTAGAAGATAAACCTCCTGTCTTTCTCCTTCAAACTCTGTATCACCATTCATGTTCTCTAGGATTTTTATAGCCTGCCTCATTGTTGGCCTAACATTAGGCTCCGGATGCACACACAACAGTCCTAAATGCAGCACTCTCTCCACTTCCTCATTGTTGTAATCCCCCTTGGCTTTTAAGTGATTATCTAGAGCGTAAAGTAATTCTCCTCTCTCCATTAACCTATGTACATATTCAACCAAACCTGGTTTTCCTTCTTCAGTTGGTCTCCGACCACATACCAGCTCAAGAATCAAAACTCCAAAACCAAACACATCTGTTTGAGTAGAGGCACGTCCGGTTTTAACTACTTCAGGTGCCATGTAACCGACAGTCCCAACAACTTGTGTAGTACTAGCTACTTGTCCATGGTGGTGAACCCGAGCTAATCCAAAATCCCCCAATCTAGCATTCATATCCTTGTCAAGCAGCACATTGCTTGCCTTAATGTCCCTATGCAGGACCTTAGCTTCCCAACCCTCATGCAAGTACAAGATCCCACTAGCCACATCTTTCAAGATTTTAATCCTTTCTTCCCAACTCAAAAGTGAACTTTCATCACACTCAAAAATTCTCTTGTCCACACTTCCATTCGTCATGTAATCATAAACGAGTATCAAGCTTCCATTAGTCTCCCTACACCAACCTCTCAACCCTACCAAATTCCTATGCTTCAATCTTCCTAGGCTTGAAACCTCAGCCAAGAACTCTCTCATACCATGTCCACTCTCAAGAGAAATTCTCTTCACTGCCACTTCTACTCCTCCAGACAATACTCCCCTGTAGACCTTCCCATTTCCTCCACAACCAATCACACTTCCTTGTGAAAACCCCTTTGTTGCTGCATAGATCTCTTGATACTCTATCCTATGAGGCCAATACTCCAATTCCCAATCTTCAATATTCTCTTTCTTCTGCCCTCTTTTCCTAACTATAACAAGATATGCCAAAACTCCCAAGGCAGTCACAAACAAAGCCCCAAAACAAACGCCTGCAATAAACCCTATCGACTGGAAAACTGAGTTATTTGGCATCATAAAAGAAGGCAAATTAGTTGTCACAAGGGCATCCCCAATAGAAGAATTGGAATTACTAAACCCCCAAGCCAAAATCTTATGACTCTCAGCCAGCTGCCCTGTTGCTGCAGTGAACCCCACATACATTTCCTCAAGAAGAACATCAAAAAGATTCACAGACTCACTTATCAAAGGCCTTCTAGGCCTTTCATCACCCACCTTAGCCATTGAAACGTTAATCACAGAACCCTCGTAATCAATCCAAACTTGATAATTCACACCATTATTAAGCTTCATCTCCTCAAACTGATCATCATCTCTCCCTCCCCACACCCCAGCCGCATGTGATGCAATAGAAGTAAGAGAATTCACATCAACTCCAACATGATTATCACTGATATCATCAAATTCTTGGTTTGTAAAAACATCAAACTCAACACCAAAGATATGGTTATTGGCATTACCATTATTTGTGAAGTTGAACAGACCCAGATGCTGAGCAGGGGCGGCAGCAGCCACATCCGGAACAGGAAAGAACCCAAATACAAATCCATGGCCAGGGAGAAGATGCTTGTAGCGAACAATAGAGAAGATAAAGGACGTAAAGAAGGGAAGTGGGGTTGATGAATTGGGAAGTTCTGTGGGGATTTTGGATGGGTAAAAGGCACGACCCATGGAGAAAGTGGTGTCGTTGGTAAGGGAAACAATGGAGGATTCCACTGCAGCAATGCCCTCCATTAGGAGGTTTGAGGAGCTGAAGTTGGCATTGTAAACAAATTCAGTACATGATACTGGATCGAACAAAATTCCGACCGTCGTGAAGAAGATGATGAGATAGTGAAGATTTGGCAAAGACATCTGATTCAAGAAGCTGAAGCCTTGTTTGATTCAAGAAATTCAGAGTGGATTCAGGGGTTTGGGTGCACGTAAGTCAAAGATATTCGCTAAGAAATCATGTTTTTCTTCGTACCAAACTAAATTATTAAAGTTTCTTGAATCAAAAGCCATGAAATTGGGCTAAAGTCAAAAGAACAGTTCACCGCTACAGCGATAAGGTTCAGAACAAAATTATTGCTCAGCGTCAGCCGACAACAAGAAAGGGCCTTTTCTCCCATCTGCTGCACATGCGACAAAATAAAAGCAGGCCTTTTATCTAGATGGTTATTTTAGTCCTCATGGTTTTTTAACTTTTTTTTTTATATATATACTGTACTAAATTATAAAAATTAATTATTAGATTGAAAAAACCCCTCCACGTTCGAAAAGCGTTCCTCCATTTCCACTACATCTGATAATTTTTTACCCAACTCATTAATTCATTCATTATTCACCCGTTTAAAATGAATTAAGGTTATATATTTATGGCCTGTGACTTATTAATGACCCGTTAAAAGAACTCAATGGGTCACGAGTCAATAACGAATTGATCCATTGGGTTAACGAATTTGACCCGTTTACCCGTTTAAAAATATAAAAATTTTAATTTATTAGTTATTTATTTTGTTTTCAAATTTTCAATTTCCAATTCCCAATTCCATTTAAACCTCTAATAATTGACTAATATTCCCTAATTAACTAATTGATTCTCTTGACTCATCATCTTTTATAAGTAAAAATAATCTCACTCCACTCATAACTCACCTTCCGACCTTTCCTATTCTTGCTTGACCTAATACTCTCGAAAACTCTAACTCTTCTCATATTTTTCAACCTCCATAGTTCATACAGCCTTTAACTTTCAAGTTTTGACTCCACCTTTTCTCTTTAATCTTTACCATTATTTCAGACTTACATCTTAATCTTATCGAGTCATCGTTACATCCACTCAACCTTTTCTTTTTTTCTTCTATAAGTCCGACGAGTGCTCTTTTTGTCACCAACTTTTCTTTTTAAATACTTCAAGGTAAGTTGTTTACTTATTTATACTTTTTAGTTTTCTTTCCATAACAAGTAAAAATTTTACTTAATTTTCTCCTTTACTTACTTAGATGCATTCAATTGATTATTCTTTGAAAGCAATGACCAAAACAAATATGTTCTAATGGGGTTTATGTTTTTTGGTTGTCATGCTACTACTGCTTTTTTTTATTTTTTTTGCTATTGAGATTTATAAGTGTTGTGTTCTTGAATTTGATTAGCGTTGTTCTTTGAAGGGATGATTATAAAAAACTATAAATATGTATATATTAAATTCATTAAAAAAATTATTTTTATATGTTGAATTTCTTTTTTAAATCTTTTGAATAATTTTCTTTGAATGATAATAGGTACAAATTATAGAAAAAAAAATTTAATTGAGTCAACCCGCGAGTTGACTTGTGACCAGTGATGGGCGAGTTAAGGCCTGCCTTCATTGACCCGTGATCCATTTTAACCCAACCCGTTTTGACCCGTTACTTGTTCTGACCCGACTCCAACCCGACTCCAACCTGCCCGTTTGCTAGGTCTAATTTCCACCGAAAAAAATCAAATGAATAGTTTTGTATAGTTTAATCTAGAGTGCAAAAAATCATTTTTGTATGTATATATATATTGAACTCCATCAAGTAATTCGATGGATTGTGCGTCTCATTGAGGGAGGTAAGATGTTCATCAGATCTGAAAATTAAATCTCCAATTGTTAACAACTAATAAAAACTAACTTACTAACCATTGTTCTTGTCAAAAAAAAAAAAGTATGTATATATATATATTGTATATTGTATAACTATGTATATTTGCTACGTCTTAAAATCATTGTTATTTTTTATTTTAAATTTATGATAAATTAATTATTGTTTTTTATTTTTTAAAATAGTAAAAAAATATTTTTTTTCAATTATCTATATATTTTGATTAATAACCTTATCACAAAATGTCTACTCTTTATTTTTTTAATTTTTTAAAGATAATATAAATAGAGGTGTAAAAAAGACTTATTTTGGGACAAAGGATACTTATATATGGAAAAAAATAGGTACTACTAATATTTCTTAAAAAATTAAAATTCCAAGTATCTAAAACTACATTGTTTTAAGCAAGGGAACTAGGGAAGTAATATGATACAACATAATAAGAGGATCTAGTAGAAGCATTCTCAAAAATTGGATCATTTTCTAGATTTCTATTGATTCTATTATTGACAAGGCAATAATTACCAAGTATTTGCCCATTGCTTGCTGCTAACTGAAAGAATCAACTGTATACTACCACCTCTATAACCTTATGAAATAAAAAAGAATTAAGCTGCACTAACCATACATAAGTTATCTTCACCGAATTTAGCTCTCTGAGCATTACTTTAGCTAATTTTTCTAGCTCCGCCACTTGAGAGGAGATACGTCTTATTGTAATCTATCCAGCTCCACGAGCAGACACCATCTGCTTCCCTTGAGCTTGCACTTTTCCAGGTTTCTTCCTGTCAAGTCTTGCTCGTCGAGCAAATTCTTGAATATTGCGATCATGCTCTTTGAGCATCTGGTCAACAGTGTCCGATTCTACAAGCAATGGACCAGAGACGTAAATCTTGTTTCCATGGGAACCACGACCAGGCTGCTGGGCAATATTAATAGAAATGCGGGTTTTAGATGACTAATGATAAGTGGGACATCATGCATGCATGCTATAACTAATAAGAGTACTACTAACCAGAATTGGTTCCTTAATGCAGGTTCTTCCACCTCCCATCTGGGGGGAATCTGCAACCCTCTGTGTACGGGATCTAAGATCCTGCTTTGCTGCAGACTCTGATTCACTAAATGATTGATTAGCCCTGCCAAGTTGGTTTGATATTTCCGGAGGTAGCTGACAAGAACTTTCCTTCTGTTCATCCGAAGCCAGAGTTCTAGATGTGACCAAACCAGACAATTTAGATAAGTTGGCTCGCTCTGGAAACATATGAGCATCATCAAGTTCCTTTGCAGGCTTTCCCCATCCAGCCCCATTAACTAATGGACCAGAATATGAAACTTTCTTCCTATTATATTCTAAGAAATCTCTACTCCCTTCTCTTACAGCTTGTGATTTTCGAGTGGGGTCAATCAGAAAACCAGAAGCACGACCTGACTTATTCAAGTTGGATGTCTCAGTCCTGAATGTCAAATTGGGATTCTGCTGTCTTCTCTGTAATTAGAGAAAAGATATTATAATAATAGAAACCAGTATCCAAATCCAAAAGCAATGAGGAAAGAAGAAAGATTAAAGCAGATAGTGGAATTGATCATACATATACTTCTTAGGACAGCTCTCACAAGATACGTAACTATCAATAAGTAATGCACTTCGATATATGCAGTAAAAAGATGCCAACATATCTATATGTACACAGAAAAATAAAAATAAGGATAATAATCCAGCAACCACATAAAGGTCAAGAATCAAACTTTACTGATGGAATTTCATCTGTTAAAGTGTTAATCTTTGAGCTGTGATTAAATTTGATGATCAGCTAGCTCAACCATGTAGGAGATTAATGAGATCTTTATCACTCTCAATATGGAAAGAATCTAGCATGCACAACACATTTAGCATAGGAAAGAAGTTCCCTTGCAAGATTTCATTTTCATAAGATGGTAATACGATTTGATTTCTTTCACTGTCAAAAACCAAAATAGGAAGAGGGATTTGAAACCATAATAGAAAAACTCACACAAAAAGGAGAAATCTATGACTTTAATCCACCAGCCATGTCTCCTACTTATACAAAGATAGTGATTGTGGAATATAAAGAAAAAAAAAAAAAAAGCATGCTAGAACCAATCCCTTTATTTTTTAATCTATATTATCATTTTCTCATGTCAATACTTTTGTCAAGTATTCTGTTCTCTTTATGATATCATCTCCCAAAATATGAGCTCAATCAAGAACAAAGATAAGAATCAGCCAATTAGTGTGCTTGTCCATCTCCATATAAAACGATTGCAAAACATACGGCACACACAGTTTTTTTCTTTTTGGACGAAATGTGAATTTTCATTTACAGCCACACATAGTTAATGCCTACCATTTTCTATTCCTTGTCTGATTAACAGCTAACTTGGTGCATCTATCATGAAATTGCCTTAGTATAGAGGAAAATCTAAATGGAAGCTCATATGATTATTTATTTATAAAAATGATGACAGCAGATAGAGATCTAAATTCTGTAGAAATTTCAGGGAGAGAATGTCCCCATCTCAAATATTAGTGTGAAATTAGAATATCAAATTTGAAAAGAGACTTAACATAAAGATGTTTTTTGACCAGCGAAAGGATGAATTGCAGAACCACAAGAACCATCTTAAACTTGTTTTTTGTTACCTGCATTGATGTAGCTAGTTCAGCATTAGCATTAGATCTTGAAATTCCCTGCAACTCTTTTGGTCCTCTCTTTTCGATGTCAATTCTTTGGCCCCTGCTCCCAAATGCTCTTTGCCTATGAGAATTTAAATATAGATTAAACTCATGATAACCAAAAAACACTTTTAAAAGCAAACAAATCTTTCCTTGGCTTAAATATTGAGAACATCAGCGGTGTCATAATTATTTATGAGTTTATAGGCCAAAAAAAAAAAAAAGAAGAAAGAAAAGAAAAATGGAAAGGAAAAGGTATCAGAAAAATCTCAAATACTGTCAGACAAACTAGTAAAAGGAGACACCAAACAACATATTCAAGAATTTCAGCTGATACAATGAATACATTTCAACTTCAAAGGATTTTAGTGTATTGTACTGTCTATAATGGATTTAGTCATTAATTTACAAGAAATTTAAGGTACACAATTAGCACATAAGAAAAAATATTAATGTTCTACCAAGCCTAAAACAACAAGTGATGCTTTCTATCTATGAAAATCAGTATCTAACATGTACCTTCTAGCTTCTTCATCCCGCAACTTAGCATCAATTTCTTTGCTGGGAGGATATTTGGGTAAACTTGATGGATCACAAGCAAGAGGTTCTGTTGTAAAGAACTGCCAACAAAGGCAAAGAAGAGATACTGGCCATTATTGAAAACAGAATAGGAGCTACCATGGAAACAAGAATGACTTTTCTTCAGGAGAAATTAACAGAAATGATAGGTAAGCAGCAGTTACAAACAACAAGAATACTAATCGTTTCCAACTATACAAAAGAGAAAAGAAATTAGTAACCACAAATTGAAAGAAAATAACAAAAAGCAATGCCAATGTTATACAGTATTACAGTTCTAACTAAGAAACTAAAAATAATGCAGTGGGACAGGCTAAAACAACTTCATCATAAGTGGGGCTAGCTTCCTCATTCATTAAGGGGAAAAACTACTAGTGCTACCAAGCACAGATTCAGTTTTAAAAATTCATGCAAGAAAAAAAAAACCCATAAGCAGAGCATGTATAGCTTTGAAATTTATTCTTTTTCCATTTTACATTCAAGGTACCTCACTCTTCAGAGAAAAAGCTGCTGTTCCTCGATGAACAGGATCTATGGAAAGCAATGTCTCTACCAGACCTAAAGCAGCAGAAGGAAAGTCTTTAAATGTTTCAGCAACACGACATTTGTATGGTATTGCAGGCTTGAAAACTGTTGAATGAGGTAGTTTTGATTTTCTCCAATATTCCTCAGATGGGGAGCCACATAGCTTAAAAATCTTATGTAATTGCTCAACCTACAAAGAACAAATATTGATTGTCACATACCATTGGTAAAAAAAAGGCAAAGAAAAGTACTATCCTACTGGAATGCTTGATTAAAGAAAATAAAAATAAAATAATTGCCAATGTGCATATGGATGTGGGGAAACACATAATTTCAGCTAAAGGAAATCTCTAGGGCTACAACTCATACTAGTTTCTAATGAAGGAATGATATGCAGGAATACTACATTAACATGTCTCCATTTAAAAATTCATAATCAAAATCAAATCATTCACTAAAACTATATCCTTACTGCCTTAGCATTTGTTAGAATATCCCTTCTGCTTCAGCATCTTAGAATAGCCTAAACAGAGAGATGACCAATTTGGTCTCATCAAGCCTGAAGTTCTAGCCAAAGTTTGTTTTTTGAAATAGATACAAGAACAAATTGGATAAAGATTTTTGCAAATGCCATATTAACAAGAAATGTTTTATTCTTCCCTTTTTTAATAAAGATTTGACAAAATATAGCCATAAAATGGATATTCTTTGATTTCACAAAATGTTCAACCAAGAGACCTTCAGCCCGAATAAGCACACAAACTCAAAATTACACAGATATACTTGGTAAATATTAAAAATCTAATACTTGATCAAATAATCTTGCATTTCATCTATTTCCTCCTTTTTCTTAAATTTTTTAACATGACCATTGGACAAGGAATCGGCTTTTATTCTTCATTCCAATCTCAGCAACAACTCATTAGAAGGCAGCAAAATGACAATAAACCTGCTAGTCATACAGAAAATAGGCTCCTAAATATGATACCTCTGTTTTCCCAGGTAAAATAGGCTTGCCAGCATATAATTCCCCAAGAATGCAACCAGCACTCCATAAATCTACTCCAACTCCATAATAAGAGGCTCCAAGTAGAAGTTCTGGTGGTCGATACCAAAGAGTCACCACACGGCTTGTCATTGGACCACTATGAAAAGGGTCGAAACAACTTGCTAATCCAAAATCCGCAATCTTCAAAATTCCATTACTGTCAATGAGAAGATTTGAACCCTTTATGTCACGATGAAGGACACCGTGACTGTGACAATGATCAAGGCCACTTAGAAGTTGCTTCATGTAACATTTAATCTAATCCAAAAAAGAAAAATATAAGTAAATAAACAGATAAATACAATTTCAGGAACATTTGTCTAATAACACAAGTATATATTGAATTGAAAAGTAAAGGTGATTGCTACACCCATGTTGCACTCAAATCGTACATGTTAAAGAAACTCAACTTTAAACAATGGCTTACAAGAACCACAAAAACAATCCTAAGATTACCTGAGGCTCTGAAAACTTGATCCCAGGAAGTGATGCAAGTCCCACAAGATCATGTTCCATATATTCAAAAACAAGGTACATGCTGCATGACATTGGGGATGTGATCAAGCCTTCCAATTTAATTACATTTGGATGGTCAAGCCTTCGTAGCAGAATAATCTCCCTTGCCATAAATTTCACGCTCTCTGGGTCATGATTATCAAATCGTACTTTTTTCAAAGCAACAAGTTTATTATGAAGGACATCACGTGCCCTATAAACACTGCTATAAGTTCCTTGACCAATCTGCAAGAACAAAGTACTGTCATGCAAAAAACCAAGAGATAGGAAATCGGAATCTCAACCTAAGAGGAATCATATAGGTCAGTAGATAAACTGAATAAGGGGTTACACCCAATCTTGATAACTACTTCAATCAAATATAGGATTATTTCAAATTCGGTTCACAAATTGTACCTTATAATTAATCACTCAGCATGTAAGGTTCCAAGTTGTACACTACACACTCACAGAAGAGTATCAACAGATATCCAAAACTATGTATTATATGTAATTTAAAGAAAGAGGCTGCAGTCCCTTGGGGTACATTCCAGTAGTTAAAAACTTGAAGGCTATCCCCTGCCGTATAGCTTATCATCCGACATACCAAAAAAAACAAGGCTGCATATAGAGTTTTCTTACAGCCTCCTTCCACTTTTAAGTTCCATTTTCTTGGAAATGAAAAAACAAGTGTAAACAAGTTATTTAGTTTAATATTTAATCATATTATTAAGTAGATCAAACGAAAAGCAGCTAATCTCAGTTTCAATACTCAAGTCTGTCAAAACTAATGAACGAATCAATGGGATACTCATTCATCAACATTTAAAGTTAGTGAATTCACTTAACACTGGATATCTAACAAAATTAGAGTTAGATAAAAAAAAAGAAAAAAAGAAAAAAAAGAAAAAAAAGAGAGGATTTTTTGATACATAAAAATGTGTCTAAGACTCTAAATTAAGCATCAAGTGCCAAAAAGAAAAAGAGCTTACTTTATCCAACTTCTCAAAGGTATTTGCTTTCCGTGGTATCCATCCCTTGATGGCATCACCTGCAACCGCAGCAAGCCAAGATGGCCACCCTGCCAGAACCAGCTCTCCTTCTGTGCTATTTGGCAGCCTCCCTGAACCAGGTCCAGGATGACCAACAATAGTCAATTCACTCTTTTTCTCAATCCCCTCAAACCTATTCATGCTCTTCTCAACCTGATGATTATCAGAGAACCGACATGAACCACTCTCTTTCTTATTAATCAACATAACCTTTATGTCACCAGCATCAAATCTATCACTTGATCGAACAACCTCATGTCTTCTGGATGAATTCTCCCGCGAAACAAGCTTCTCTACTGATTCCTTTCGTGTCAGCCTCTCTTTCGAGCCACCATAGCTATATTCCCTAACCGAACGCTTAGACCCTACACAACCCATGTTGCTCTCTGTACAACTATGAGCAGCAACAAAAAAGCACTCCTTCACAGTTAAAATTCACCACTAAAAACTCATCCTAAATTGCCCACCTTGCTTCAAATTTCAACCTTGATCGAAAAGAATACCAAAGAAAACGGAAAATCACTGAATACCCAACTCATCAAACATCGAAATTCAAGGTTTTTCAATGAAGAGATACCAATATCCCGATCCTTTTGAAGAATTCAAAGTGACCCAATTCTCAAATAAGAGCACGACTAAGGTAACTTGAATATTGGTCGAGAAAACATAAAAGGTAAGTAGCCCCAGAAAAATAATCGCCCCTAAGAAACAGACAATTACAGATAAGCAATGACTAGGGTCCAGGGAAGAGGAAAATTGGGTGGGTTAAGGGGTGAGCCAAGGGGAAAGAAGGAAAGAACTTAATTAACACGAAATTGTGGATTTGTTCTGCTTTTGAGGGATTCAGTGTGAAAGATATTAAAATACACGTAAAACGAAATGTAGAGAAGAAGTCTGTCGCCGGCGGTACTCAGTCAACGGAAAGTTCTGATATTCCGATCTTGTTTCCATTTTTTATGGATTGAATTGTTGTATGGTAATTAAAAAATTTTAAAAATTGAAGAAATTGGAGTTCGAATGCGAAAAAGGAAGGTGAAATTTTGGTGGGTTTTGAAGGGGCATTGTTATTGCCAACCCCCCATATCCACTTAAATTTTAGTTTTTTTTTAAAAAATAATGTTCAAAAATATTATTTGGTTGATTAATTTTTAATAAATTGATTTAACTTATACCTTTAAAAGTATAAATTAAAAATATAATTCATATATTTTTTAATATAAAATAATGTTTACTCGTCTTATTTTTTAAAAATTAAAAAAAATATTATTTTAAAATTATATTATTTTAATAAATATTTATTAAAAAATATTAATATATCTTAATTTTAAAATATGAATTATGATATTTTTTATCTTTTTATTTTTTAATTTTTTAAAAGTAAGTGGACAAGCACTAATCTTTTTTATATTAATTGATATAAAAATAATAAAAATTGATATTAATACTATCATTAATACTATATGTATTTTTTAATTGAATGATTGATTAAGTAAATATCAAATTTTATTTTTTTAATGTCAATTAATATTAAAAAATATTCTTAACTTGTAT